GTGGTCACCTTATCTTGGACTACAAACCTTTAAAACTATAAGATAATAAACTACTCTTGCTTAAGCTACACGGAAGTAGGAAAAAACTCGAAATCCATGATTTTTGTTTGGTTAACACTGAAGCTCCCACGCAAGGTTTAGTTCACTGAGGCTCTCATACCCAAAATTTATAAATTCTGATTTTGTCAGATTATCTCACTAGGAAAATAAGAATGAGAGTAGAAAAAATATTCGTTAACATATATAGGTCAGGATTCTACATTTGACTGGATCCTGAATTCTGGCCTGAAAAAGAGATACTGATGGCTCTGATACGAACTACTTGAGTGATTTTGAGCAGGTTCTTGCTCTCTCTGAATCTAAATTTCCTCATTCATAAAATTAAAGACTGAGATTATACAATCTTTAAATTTTCCTCTATTGATATAACTTTATTATGAGTAATGAAACACTTGCTAAATACCTCCCAAAAGTAAAGTATTTTGAAGTTTCCTTTCAAAAAATTGTTGGTAAAGCAAAATATCCTCTAGAGTTTCCGTACTTGTTGTTTTTAAACCATCTCTTTTCTATATAGCAAGTCCAAGGCTACCCTGAACTACACGGTGAAATGATCTAAAAAAAAAATTATTAATTTTGACTAGGTTAAAAATTTTCAATAATGGAAAATAATTAACATTGTTCCCAATCCAAAAGATCCCCTTAAGTACTGTTATTCTGATTCAACATCACAAATAATTTTCTTAGTTTTGTTACTTTTCTAACCCCTTTACCATAGTGTTCATTTAGGTCCTGAATTAATGCTGTTGAACTGAGCTGTTAACAGCTTCCCAACTCTTCTGTTAAACTCTTACCAGAACATGTGGAGAACTCAAATATTTACCGAATGAATTAAGGAATCCTTGAACTGCACTCCAGACCCAAAGAATCAAAATCTGGGAGAAAGGATTTCCTGCTTTAAGTATTTCCATTCATACCGAAGTCTGAGAAGCACCACACACAGGACACTGTAAATGTTATGCACCATGCTGTAGTTAAGGGAGGCCTTGCATAATCTGCCTTCTAACTACTTGTCCAAATTAACTTTTTATCACTTCCCATGAACTGAGCCATAGTGAAATACACTTTGAGTCAACAAAAGCAACATTTTGGAACCTCTTGCACATCTCCTTTTTGTTTTCTGCCCTGTTCTACTTCCCTAGCTCTACAAATTAACACAAGGAGAGCCTCTTCCTCTACGCAGGTTGCCAGTCATGTTCATGCTTCTCAATGGGTCAGCATCCTGCTGTTTTTGCACTATAATGCTACCATTCTACTACTTTTGTTTATTTCCATTTCTGCTTCCCAGACTGAGATCCTCACAGGTCGGAACAAACTTATTCCTTTGTGTTCAGAGATTCCAGTACAGTGAGAGTAAGCATCATATATTTTCATTCAAAAAAATTTTTTTTTTGGTACTGGGTATCAAACTCAGGACCCTGTGCTTGCAAGGCAGGCTGCATACCACTGAGCCAAATTCTCTGCCCTCAAATACTTGCTGAATGAATGAATAAAAATTCTAAAGAGGCCAGAAACCACAAGGTTTATGATCTAAATCCTAAAGGAATGTTCTATGCTTTTTTTAAATCAGCAGGTCAATAAGTACGAATCGGATTGCTCTTTGTCCTGCAGTGCTTCTTGCAGTAGTGAAATGATTCTCAAAGTACTGCCTGGGTACCCTCAGAGCTTTAGGACTCTTAGGGAATCTGTGAGGTCAAAACGATTTTATAATGAGACCAAAATGTTAGTTGTCTTTTTCACTCTCATTCTGTCATGTGTGAGTGTAGAGTTGAGGACTAGAGGATACATGTTATGTAGTATTACAAGTGACTGCAGAATGAGACATGAACATCCACCTTTCTTCAGTTAGGCCAAATAGTAAAGAGATTTGCAAAATGCAAAATAACGCCACACTTCTCATTAATTTCTTGAAAATGTGTTATTTAGGTTAATATTCAATGATTTATTACTGCAACTTTAAATTAAGTGATAACTATTTTTAAAAATTATTGGTTATAACAGATAGCTTTAAAAAGCTCTTTAGGATCCTTAATTTAACCTCAGATCAAAAAATCTGAAAACCACTGCTCTAGTCTTTTCTGAAACTGGTCAAATTGTACCAGCTGGTCTAAAGCAATTACCCATCCAAAATGCAGGGAAATAGAAAGTCCTACTTAAGAACTCAAAGTTTTACTTAGTTCCCTCCCCCATCTTTGGATGGCCAAACATCTTTAAACATGCATATTGATAGTTCACTCAGCTTTCAAGCCTCTCAAAAATGTGTTGCTTCTTCCCTAAAGTTTTTTCTAATTTTTCTTGCAACTGAATGCGCTATGTGCCAGTTTGATCTGTACAGTACTCTAATAGTTTTGTATTTTTATTATTTGTACATTTGTTTTTCTTACCTTTTAGATTATGAAGTCCAAGAAGGCAAGGTGGTTGCACTGGAGTTTGAATTCAGTTTTTCTGTTACTAACTCTGGGACCCTAGGCAAGTTTCTTAAATACTATGGGTGAGTTCTAGTTCCCACAGTTTTGAATGAGGTAACCCTAATTACCTGTTGTCATCCCCACTGAACAGAATGAAATGAGTACAGTGTTCAGCATACAGGAGAATGAATGGTAGCTAGTACTATTTTTAAAATCTGTACATCTTTAATCATATTACCTTCAGCACTCCTGGAATTTAATAAATATTTCCTAACGTGATAATATTTTCCCCCTGAACTAGAAATAATGAGGTTTAAAGAAATGCTCTCTCCTTCCCTCCCTGTCTTTCTCTCTCTGTTAGAAAACAGCAGGACTTGTAGTCCTCTGAAATTTCTTTCATTTCTCATAATCTGTAATTATAAACATCTCTTGGATTTAAAAAAAAAATCTATAACTATGTTTTAAGTATAGTGTTTTTCTTCCCCTGTGATTACTTTTGACCTACCATTAGGTTTGTTTTTCTAAGCTTGAAGAAGTATGCTATTGCCTCTAAAATTGCTAACGAGATCATTTTCCTTCCTTCAGGAGTGGCAAAAATATTTTACTTAGATTCCTACCACACATATATGTGTAGCTTTTACAAATAAAATGGACTGTTTAGTCTTAGCATAGCATAAATACATGTTAGATATTATAAGCATTGTAATATTAGGACTTAAGAGGCTGAGGCATGAGGATCTCAGTGAGTTTGAGGCTAGACTAGACTATATAGTGAGTTAAAGGCCATTCTGAACTACACAGTCAGACTTTGTCTCAAAAAAGAAAAAAATGCCCACCATAAAAATAAAAAAAATTCCAGAAACTGAAGGTATCATGAAATATATTTCATCTTTAAAGGATTTCGCAAGATAATCAAATTTACATATCCTCATTATCAACTTGGGCTAGACCCCAGAGACATATAGAACACAATCCTTGCCTCCTTCAACACCCTATCTAGGAGTTTCAAGAATCATCAAATCTGAACTACTGATGCTAACGGCATTGTTAGTTTCAAATTTTTTGGGGGGATACAATATGATCTAATAGTAAGACAAAAGCAACTAAGTTCTTTGGGAGACTTCTGTTCTTGACTTTTTAGTACACTCGACCCTTGACTTACGAACTTGATCAGTTTCCAAGGGCTGGCTGTAACTCAAGTTGGTTGTAAGTCAGTACAGCTAAGAGATCTCGATGTTTACCTGGGGACATGCTATAGATAACAAGAGGCAGATGACTCTTCCACTAACCTAATTAACCCGAGCTGTAATCAAAGTATAAAGCTAGTGATAAACATGTATCTCAACAACTCAAGCTCTAAAAAAAGAAACCAAAAAACCAAACCAAACAAAACCTTCTAAAGTCCCTAGATTCTTTTTGTGTATAATTCAAAAGGCTTTCTATTGTCCAAATTCCTAAATGCTGCGACATGATCATCGTATTAAGGAAAAAGGGTCTCAAAACGGCCCAGGGACCTCAGTTACAAGGCTAGATGGATAATTATCTCAAGTGTGACAATCCCGGGAACAGTGCACAAGATTCCAATCCTGAACATTTTCTGCTGCATAAAGTGTGTCCTAAAATGGTAGAATCACAATGAAACTATTGCTTTCTTTTCCTTTATTTCGTCTATATCTTCTAGGCCCTCAGTGCAATAAGGCGTTGTCAAAAAACGCGAGTTTAAACGCCATCCGAAGTGCAGGCGTAGGATAACTCTTTGAGAACATCACGGAACTCCTGCGAAGGATGAGAGCCCAACAAAGTACTGGGTTGCCAGAAAGAAACGTGGGCTCTCGTGGGAAGGCGAGGGGTCAGGGCGCAGCCTGCAGACCGAAGGCTCCGCGCGGTCGGGTCCTGGGCCCGGCAGCTCCGTCCCGTCCCGTCCTCCGCACACCCGGCCCGGGTCGCCCGGCCGCTCCCCAACCGAGCAGAAAGTCACCCCTCCCCAACGCCTCTCTCCCCAGGGTCCCTTCCCAAGCAGCTGCCACCCACCTCCAAGGACCGTGCCAAGGAAGATGCACTTCTTTTTGTGACGTTTCAGAAAATTCCACGTCGATCTCAGCATTTTCGGGCCCCGGGGGGTGCGGGCTGCCTGGGACGAGGGGCCGGTTCACCAGGCCACCGTTTCTCGGTCGCATGGGCCGGACGACCCTGCAGGAACGCCGACGTCCCGCTCCGTGCTGCACACAAATCCCAAAGGCAGCCGCCTTCCCCCAGCCGTTGTCACCCCAGCGGGAAGGGGGCGTGGACTACGACGAGCAGCTGCGCTTTCCGTCCTGGCCGCAGCGCCGCCGCCGCCGCCGCCGCTCCCTGGTCCGGAGCACCCGGGGTCCGTCAAAAATCGCTTTCCTCTTTCCGTCCTGGCCGCAGCGCCGCCGCCGCCGCCGCCGCTCCCTGGTCCGGAGCACCCGGGGTCCGTCAAAAATCGCTTTCCCTGTGCTCTGTCGCTCTACTTCCCCCCGGAAACGACTCCTCGCCCGCCTTTCGTTCCGCAAGCGGCGCGGCTCTTGGGTCTCGGTCTGGAGGGCGAGGCATGGAGGCGAAGGCGGCTCTCTCGGCAGTTCCATCCGCAGCTGCGGGCGGATCGCGCGCTGTGTCCGCAGAGGAGACTGCAAAGTGGATGGAGGAGGCCATGCTCATGGTGAGCAGCCCGGGAAGGGGACCCCGAGGGAGGAAACTGTCTGTCCTACCTCACCCAGGTTCTGAGCGCATTCCCATCACCAGTCTCCGCGGACTGCGAGCGAGCTTTACATTCGTGAGAATCCCTGTACCCCATTCTCATTGCGACCCTGGGGGAGGAAAGGAGGGCAAATGGAGAAGTCGGGTGTGTGATCGCGGTGGCGAGGGCGCCGAGTGCATCCCTTCAGCCGATCGCTGCCACGTGCTGCATCCAGAGTCACTTTTTCCCCCCTCCCTTGAATATACCCAGAGAAAAGGGAGCTGAAGATATTTTTGGTGGACAGCAGTAGGAAAACGCGCCCCTGTGCAGCCAGCATCCGCCCCGCATTCATCCCCCCGGCTTTCCTCAGGCCTGCGTCCTTCCCTGGCTGCTCGGAGGGTGGCTGAGGACGGCGGACCTCCACCAGGGGTGGGTGTCATCCCAGCTTTACCCACCCTGGAGTGTGCCACTGAGCTGTTTACCCGGAGAAAAGTTCGTATGACGTGTAGAGTACTTGCACGGTCCACGGGGGCGTGTTCTAAGAAGTCCCCTGGGGACTTCATTGTGGGAACAGCACCGAGTCCTTCCGCGGCAGCCTCCAGGCCTCCGCAGCAGGGTACATAGCCTGTTCCTCAAGGGCTGCAAGCCTGTGCGGCGTGGTACTGATAGATACTGCACGCCACTGTTAACACAGTGCTTGCTATTTGTGTATCTAAACGTAGAATACACAAAGTACAATTGTAGTATAAAAGGTTGTTTTGCGTTTAAGTGGCACGTCTGTGCAGGGCACTTGCTGTGAAAGGAGCCTGCAGGACTGGAAGTTGCCTGTGTAAGTCAGTTAGCGTCGCACCTACTTATTAGACTTTGTAAACCCTGGATACTTAGGCTACACGTTAGGAAAAAACGTTTTCTTTCTTAAATAAGTTAACATCAGCTTATGGTAACTTTCCTTTTTCTTTTAAAAGTTTCTTTGTAAAAAGCTGAGACACAAACATGCACATGAGTTAGGCCTACACGGGGCCATGATCCTGGATCTCCATCTTTCACCTCCACACCTCCTCCCAGGAAGAGCCCTCACAGAGCTATCAGTGCCTTCTTCAGAAGTCCTGCCTGAGGTTGTTTTACAGTTAACTCTTTAAAAAAATATATGTAAAAGTTTACTCTAAAATAATAGAATGCATAGTACAGTAAATACATAAATCAGTGACAGTAATTTATTACCAGGTTTTATAGAGTGTGCATAACTGTATTTTTGTATTTTCATAATACTGATAGCACGGTGGATTCACTGCCACCAGTATCACTGTGAATATGTACTGCCTCATGATGTCATTAGAACTTTGAAGCCCCTGGGCAAATATTTGAGTTCCATTATAGCCTTGTGGATCAATCACCGTCAGATGTGCTGTCCATTGTTGACCAGTTCATCATTAGACATCACATATCTGCACATATATACAGATAAATGCATATCCATATACAGGCATTCCTTGTTGAATGACCAGGTTAACTTCCTGCTGCCAGGTCATTAAATGAATTGGTTGTAAATGAGAAAAGTATATAGAGAATGTACATTACAATGTTCAGAACAAAGAAATGGTCAAAGGAAACTCCAACATGATGACTTTGCTTTTATTTGCCTGTTACATGCAGTGCTATAATGTATAACAGAACATAAAGCTACAGTCCTGTACAGTACAATCAGCACAAATCACACTAGTGTACTGCAGAAGAAGTCACCATAACACCACACTGCTGCTCATGTTCCTGCATCACAAGTCTGAATGTGGGTCGTAAGTCTGAACAGTCGTTAACCGGGTGAGTCATTCAACAAGGAATATCCGTACACACATACTTTTACATACATATACAGTACATGCATTTTGTACACACACATGAAGATATATGAAATGCCCTTCAGTTTTTCATTTCCCTGATAATACTATAAAAAAGATCCTTTTCATACATGTTTTTAATTGTGCCCTCCTATGGCTTCTGGTCCACTGTAGTTAATTAATTCCATAATTTTTTCATTCATTCCTCAAGTGTTTATTGAATACACTGTGCTTGGCTTTGGGGCTTCATTACTGAGACTAATTTTGTTTTGTTCTCCTCTTACTAAAATAACCTCTCACATTATTTGCCCTGCATTTATTCAGTATTACAGCCAAATGCTTTTCAGTTTCTAATGTAAACTGTGATGCATTAGAGAATGTGCCATAGTTCTTTTGACTTATATAGTTCTTTTAAACTTGCTTCTCATACCTTTAAACAAGTGTCCCACAGTAAAAACAAGAAAAAACTATTTTATAGCACAACTCAGAAAATAAGTATAGGTGTAATCTAAACAAAAGTTTTACAGTGGAGTACCTGTGCTTCCTGAGTATAGTTTTCCTGGTGTTTTTATTGTACTGTTTCAAAAAGCATTATTATAACCTATTAACTTGATGCCATGACTCATTTTTTTATTTTCCTCCCATCTATATTTAATTTTTTTTTTGGAGGAGTACCGGGGATTGAACTTGGATCCTTGAGCTTGCAAGGCAGGCCACCGAACCGCTGAGCTAAATCCCTGGCCCTTTAATTATTTTATTAGTACATGTTTATAGTGCACAGTGCTCACATTCCTTGTGGGAAGTTTGTAGTTGTACATAACACATTCAATTCTTTCTTTTATTTTTGTGATCCCCTTTTCCTCTCCCTCTTCCCTTCATCTATTGAACCATGACCCATTCTTTAAGCTTATTTCAAACTTCATTTCTTTGCTTAAATTTATAATATGCATAGACTTTTACTTGATACTTAAATTAATATGCAAATATGCATTTCAAAACTTGTAATCTTAAATATGGATTTGTTTATTCTTGATTCCTTTTATGTTATTAAGTCCTCCAAATAGAAGACAAAAGGTTTTTAAAAAATCAAAATTTTACTCTCTCCTTGTGTAAGTCAGCTTTCTATTAGTATGTATTACTATTAACAAAGAGAAAGGAGTTGTTTGGGCTTACAGTTTTGGAGGGCCCAGTCTGTGTTCAGTTGACCTCATTGCTTTTGGGCCTATAGTGGCAGTGTGTTGTAGTAGGAATGTGGGGTGGAGCAAAATGCTTATATCATGAGCCAAGGAGCACGAGTGAAGGAGAGAGACCAGGGTCCCACAGTGTCCTTCCAGGGCAAGTCTCCAGTAATTTAAGGACCTCCTACTAGGCTATATCCCCTAAAATTTCTACCACCTCCCAGCAAGTCATACCACCATGAGGCCGAAGCCTTTAACACATGAGCCTTTGAAGGCACTTATCCAAACTGTGGCATGCCCACACATCATTTCAATAACATCACGCTCTAGGCAGCTTCTTAATCACCAGGATGAAAAATAATAAGGATCGATGAAGCTAAAATATCATATACCTTGTGTTAATTAACTTTCTGTCACTATAAAAATACTTGCAATAATTTATGAAGGGAAAAGATTTATTCTGGCTCCCAGAGTTTCCAGTTCATGACCAAGAGGACCCATTACGTTACTCTTAGGCTTCCAGTGGAGCTGCCCGATGCCCGTGGTGGGGAGCGAGCAGCAGAGTAAAACTACTTATGACCAGGAAGCAAGAGAACAAGGAGGAGGCAGGTGGAGAGAGGTATCCCTCAGTGACCGAAAGTGACAAGACTGTCCCCTAGGTCCCCTCTGAAAGGTCCCACTGCTTCCCAACAGTGCCATCCCTGGATCAGGCCCTTAGCCCACGGGCTCTGGGGATATCGTGAGCCCTTGACAGAGCTTGAAGTAAGAGCATTTGCATCTTTCCGCTGGTGAGAAGAGGTCTAGAGGGCAGATGATGTTGGGTGCTGGGAAGTCAGCATTTTTATTTCTTCTATTTATTTTTATGAGCTTTTCTCAAAGTGTTCACATGTGGAGCTGGCTTAGATGAAATTTTTTAGAGATGCTACAAGGGAGTTCTCACAGTGCTCTCAAAAACAGCCAAGTCACTCGTTTACGCTTTGTGTATCAGAATCGTGTTTTCTTTCCCTCTTTCTATAGGTTGCTACTTTGCCTGGAGCATGCTGTCATCCTTCTACCTAAGAACATTTCAGCGGTCCACTCTGCATTTCTTTATTTAGACTTAGGGACTAAACACTTAAGTCCTTTAATGATGTTTTGTTGTGAAGTTAGGCAAATTGCTTAAATCACTCCACAGTTGCCTTTCTAGTCCATCAAATGAGATGGTTGAACTTCAAAGAATTTGTAAGACACTCTGGCCTTTTGTCTCTTAATTGGATTATAAATGCCTGGGATCATGATTACACAGTTTACCTCCTGTGTAGGATTAAGGAGGTCCTTAGTGGCTGCTTTTTGCTTTTGGCCTATGCATGTTTCTTCCAGGCTTTCAAAAAAGGAAGAGTTCTCTCCATGACTTGTAAACTCTATTCCCTTAAGAAAGTTTAAATCTTAAATTTAAAGAATTACTTCTGATAAGAATTTAAGATTCGACTAGGAGTATAACTACTGTCAAATCCGGAGGCAGCAAGCCAATCATTAATTAATTTCTGCTGAGGATTTGTTTGTTTGGAGATGGGGTCTCCTGGTGTTGTCCAGGCTGGCCTCCAACTCCTGATTTGCCTGCTTCAGCCTGACCGCAGCTGAGACTAAAGGTGTACACGGCCATTCCTGACTACTGAGCCCTGGAAAGTGAAATCACCACAGCTGTGTGTAATGGGGAGGAAGCGTATGTAGAACATTTCTATCCTTTTTAAAAAATAAGTTTTAAAACCCCATGTCTTAGTTAACTTTCTCACCGCTGGGACACACACAATACCTGACACCTGCAATTTAAAGGAGAGGTTTATTTTGCCACAGTTTGTAGAGGTTTCAGTTCATAGCCAGTTGGCTCCTAGGCAGGTAGACTGCACTGGAGAAACTGCCCGCAGCCAAGGCAGAGGTAAGCAGATCAAAGGCAGGGGCAGGGAGGAGATGTAGAGCAGGCCAGGCCACA